CCCGAAGCTCCGCGGCCCGGGGGCTCCGGGAGCCCGGCGGGGCCGCAGCAGGGGCGGGACGGGCTGGGGCCCCCGGGGGAGGGAGTGCGAGGGCGGGAGGAAGAAAGAAAGCGCGACGACAGGCGGAGGGGAGCCCCGGCGCTCGGAGCGCAGGCGGGAGGGAGTGGGGACCCCGGAGCCCGACGGGCGCTCCCCCAGGGGAGAGGGGCGTGCGGGCGGAAGGAGGCCCACAGGGGAGACGGAGAGGAGGGGAGCCAGGGAAAAGGACTGACCTAGAGAGAAAGGGGATGGGGGAGGTGGTGGATAGAGGGACGGACGGACAGAAAAAGAGGCACGGAGGGAACACACAAAAGGACACAGAAAGAATCCCAGAGAAAGACAGACACGAAGAGTAGGGAGGAGACCAGAAGACCGGAGGGGAAGGAGGAAACCCAAGGGAGAGAGAAGGAGGCAAATAGGCAGCTGGAAGGAAAAAGACAGATAAAGGGAGATGTGAGGGACGGACTAAGGGATGGGAAGGAAGGGAGAGGAGGAGAGGTGGAGGCCGAGGGTACAGGAGAGAAAGAGACAAGAGGACTGGGGGTGGGGGATAGGGAGGGAGCAAGACAGACGGATGGGAAAGACCGAAGTGGACATGGTTGGAAAGCGATGGACAGACAGACAGACAGGAAGGGGGGGGTTGCAGAGGGACTGACACAGAGGGAAGGAGATGGATGGGAACCAGAGGGAGGGGAGACCAGACTTGGGACCTCAGGGAGGAGGCCCAGGAGAGGGAGGCAGGAGGCACTGAAGGAGGAAATGGGGGGATCTGGGATCCGGGATCCGCAGCATTTGGGGCATGGGTTGGGGCAGGCAGCAGAGGCTGGGGGGGGGGGCAGGATTTCACAGGGAACTCCCCAGCGCCCTCTCCTTCCCCTCCCACTCTCTTGGTTGTCTGGTAGGGGTGCTCCCACAAAGCTGAAAGCACAGTGTCTCCTCCCACAGCTTTGGAGGAGCTTCCTCCCTCTCTCCTTGAGGGGTGGGGGGTACCCTGCCTGCTTCTGCTCTCCTTGGCTTCCCCCCGCCCCCGCTGCCATGCTGGGCTCCCCGAAGTCTGTGTTTGGTGGCACAGGAATCTATTCCTGGGAGTCGCACCCTGACTAAGGATGCCAGGCCATTTAAACTATTTCACAGTTGGAGCCCGCAGAGGCTGGGCCCTGTGGCCCACAGCCCCCACCGTGTCTGTAGGTGTCTCTCGCCGACTTTAGGATCCTTCGCCCCTGTTTGGCTGTTTCTGTATGTGCCTCTCTCCACCTCTCTGTCCCTCCTCTGTGTCCCACCCCCTGAAAGCCTTGTGCTGTGACGCAAACCAAAGTCAAAGCAAGCAGCGACGGAAGGGCTGGGCTGCCCTCTGGAGGGAGTCCCCAGCCCTGGGCAGGGAGCAGGGGCAGACCATGGGAACAAATGGCCTGTGGCTCCTGTCCTCCCCAGCCCCCACCTAAAGTCACGTTTAGGAGATGTGTTGGGAGTTGTCTCGCCGCCCCCCCCCCCGCCACGAGTCCCGTGGCTAACCTTCATCCATTTCCCTCCCCACGAGGATACCTGCCTAGGTCAGAGATTAGGGATACGGGGCAAAAGGGGCTCCAGAACACCAGGCAGTTTCCCTCCCCTCGTTCCTGTACACTGACCCTTGGGATGTGTATCCGTGGTCCATTTCCCTTGCTGGTCCTATCTCAGAAGTGGCCCCAGGCCTCCCCACTGGAAGGATGCAGACTGGCCCTCCCTGGCCTCTGGCTTCCTGCCCTGGAGGCCGTGCTAACCCTGCATGGGGGTCCCTGTGTTGTCACTTCCCCAGAAGGGGATGTTCTGCTGGCCTGATGTTCCTGCTGGCCCCTGGCCATCTGATGGCTGGCTCTGGCCTCCTACTCTGACTGCTTCCTGACTCCCGTTCCCCCTTCCCCTGGGCAGCTGTAGAGGACAGGCTGCTGACCTGAGCAGATACAACCACCCTGAGAAGTGACGCCACCTGCTGGGTGTGCCTGCATGCGCGTGTGTGCATGTGTGTGTGTGTGTGTGTGTGCATGTGTAGGGAATTTTGCTCTTATGCTTCTTGTTGATGCCTCTCTTCCTTTGGGGGAGGCTGGAGCCCTTAGAGACTTAGAGAGGAGCTCTATTCTCTTAGAGAGGCCCCCCACAGATTTAGAGCCCTGATGCCAGCCAGGGGAGTAATTCAGAATGGACAGTCTCAGGAACCCGACAGTCTAGGGGAAGACTGGAGTCATGAAGGGAGGAGTCCAGGACTTCCCCAGACTTGCCCCTGGGTGACTGCACTCAGGGTAGCTGCTGAGGGTTCCCTGTGCGGCCCTTCTGGGTCCCTCTATCTGCCACCATCCTTATTTTATTCGTGACTAGCTGGAAGTAACATGGCCCATAGAAAGCTCTGGATCTGAACTCCAGTCTTGGCCCCTAATGAGCTACTGACCTACAGCAGACCTCTCTGGGCCTCAGTTTTCTCATCTGTAACCCATATTATAACTAAGGTTCTTCTGGCTGTGCTATCCTGTGTCCTGAGGGTCCTTTTCCCGGTTTGAGCTCTGTGCTGTGTGTGTGTTGTGTGTGTGTGTGAGAGAGAAAGAGAGATGGGTGTATAGACAGAAACACAGGATCTATTTTGCATTACTTTGGCCAACAGCTATTCCAGACTGAAGGTGTATATGTGTGTGTTGGGGTGGGAGGTGGGGAGTGCCAGGAGCCCTCAAAACCTAGACTGAACTTGAGTTTGGAAGTTGGGATCTGAGAGCCAGGTGCTGGGTGTCTGAGGTGGAGAGGAGAAAGGATGGGGAGGTGAGAACCACGGACGAGCCCGGTCAACCCCACTGAGGGTGTGCCTGCTCTGCTAGCCACCACAGGCAGGGGTGTGGAAGCTAGGTGAAGAATCCTCCATTTCCACAGCCTTGGGCTGAGTGGGGTCAGGTCACCCCTCTGGGCCTCCTGGCTTGGCCTCTGCTCGCCGTTCCATTCTAGCCTTGGTTTCCTGCCCCTGCCCCACCCCCCACCGTAAACCCCAAGGGGATAGATTTAAATTCCTCCAAGGCCCTTCTGGCTCTGAATTCTAGAATAAGGAGACTGGAGGAGGGATGGAGCAGTGCTTGTGGGGAGAGCAAGACACACAGAGAGGCTTTCCCAGCGGCGCTCCTAAGCCTCGGGTTTTGTCATCTCTCCAGCAGGGGTAATAGACCAACTGAATGGGACCGTCATGAAAATAAATGGGAGCCCGCATTTAGGTGGCATTGTGTCTGGCACAGAGTAGCTGCCCCCAAAATGCTACCAGCCGCCACTTGTCACGCCGGATTGTCGTGTGATGGCTATTACTGTTAATTACCCCAGCGGTCGATGGGAGGTGGGGGGGCAGAAGGAGCTCCCTGCCCCCAGCCATTACTGCCTGCCGCCCGGTCCACACCTCACCAGTGGTTTCCCCTCTCCGCTCCCCCCAGGGCCAGTCGACGTGGACGAGTGCTCGGAGGGCACGGATGACTGCCACATCGATGCCATCTGCCAGAACACACCCAAGTCCTACAAATGCCTCTGCAAGCCGGGCTACAAAGGCGAAGGCAGGCAGTGTGAAGGTGAGCCCAGCCCGGCCCTCCCAGCCAGACCCCGTGGCTGCCACGGCCCCCGTATGTGGTCAGTGCCCGCCCCGTGGCATGCCTCACTCAGCCTTGGGAGGGAGGCCGGGGGCTTCTTGGGAACTTGAGCTGCTTCCCCGGAGGGAGGAATTTGGAGTCAAAGGGGACTTAACTTGTGCTGGGATTGAAACTTTTGTTTCGTTTTGTCTTAAATGAGATGAAGTGTTGAATGATATGTTCTTCCGTCTGTCCCTGATGGGATATGTGTGGGGTACAGGCCTGGGGTAACCCTCTCCCCAGGTTCCTAACTTCGAAACCACCCACATCACCCCGTGTGGCCTTAGCTTCCCCAAAGGACCTGCTTAGTGGCCAGCCACAGCGTTTGTGGGCTGGCTCAGGTACGAGAGCTTGGGAAAAGACATAGATTTGTGCCGTGTCCGTCTGTCTGTCCGGCCTTTCTTCCCTGCACCTGGGGTTTTGGTGTGACTGTTTGGCACTGGAAACTGCCTTCCTGGCAAGCTGGAAGTCAGAGAGAGAAGAGTAGCCTTGGCTGTCTTTGGAGCCAGGACTCTCCAAACTGGATGGAACTCATGGGAGCATCTGTCGGGGAGGGGCTGTGTGGCCATTCTATGTGGTTCTGGGGAAGCCCATCATCAGGGAGCTGGAAACCTCTCTCTCCATGACCCGTGTGCACACCCGGCTGAGAATCGTTGATCCAAATCCTCCCTGTCTCTCCCCACTTTACAGATGAGGAAAGTTAAGGCTCCGAGAGAAATAAGACCCCAGGTTCTGCAGGGCATGACGAGTACTAAACCCCAGGACCTGAATTTCCACCCCACGGCTCCCTAGCATCTCGATTGCTTCTCCCCACGTTTTGCCAACTTACTTTTGCAAAGCGTGAGACTCGTATTAGGAAAGCGACCCATGAGAGTACGATGGGTGCCCATCCCTTCTGTGTAAGGCTTTGTAGGAGCTGGAGCTTTGTAGGAGATGCAGCTAGGCCTCCTTGGGGTGCTGACATGATTCGTCCATCTCACTTGTTGGGCGTCTCCTTAAGGCTGAGTGCTGGGCAAATGGCAACGGCCTGGATCGTGCCTGGTTTGGCCACATCTCTGGCCTTGCTTGGGGCCCAGAAGCCTGAGTGCGGAGCTGGCACCTACCCACAGACCTCTGGAAGGAGGCCAGGCTAGAGACAGGTAGAGGTCATGAGCAAAAAGCCTGGTGGCATGGGCTAGCCCCCTGCTGGCAGGGCCTGGAGGATCCATGTGGCATGTGTGGGCTCTAACGTGACGGTTTTCTGACCCTCTGCTCCCTGCTCCAGTCCCAGTGCTCTGGCAAGGGAGGACCGAGGGCAACCCTCTCTCTCTGCTTGTCCAAGCCCCTGACCCAGCCTGTTCCTTCTCTAGCCCAGCTCCTTGGGTTTCCGTCCTGCTGTCCCCGGACCTGGAGGCCCACACTTTATGTCCTGCCTGTCTCCCTGAAGCCCTTCGGAGTCCAGCTTTAGCTCTCCACTCTGCCTGAGCCCAGGTTGGGAGTTAGACTTGCTGGCTCAGTATAAGGTTGGGAGAGGAGGAGGCTTGTAAATGTGCTTCTGGAACTGCCAGGGCCCTCTATGTCTTGCTAGTCTGTGTCCTCTTGTCATGGCCTCTGCCCCTCACCTCCTGAAACCCTGAATAGCCCTCGTGTCCTGGCCACACACCCCCACACGAGGCCGCGCCATGTCTCTGAGCCCCAGCTCAGGTCTTACCCCCTACCGGGAGCCCCTTTTCCACCCTTTGTGTCCTGGCCAGTTCCTAATCAGGCTTTAGATTTGCCTCCTCTGGGAAGCCTTCCCTGATACCTCTGCTTCTACACGATTACACATATACACACCCACACAAAGCCACATTAAGTGCTTTTCTCCATCGTAGCACTTCTTTTTGTTTTTTTAAAGATTCTTTAGGGGGAGCAGAGGGAGAGAGAATTTCAAGCAGACTCCATGCTGAGCGCAGAGCCAGACGAGAGGGCTTGATCTTATGACCCTGAGATAATGACCTGACCTGAGCCAAAACCAAGAGTCAGACGCTTAACTGACTGCCCCACCCAGGCACCCCCCATGATAGCACTCCTTTTTAATTTTTTTTAATTTTTATTTTTTAAAGATTTTATTTATTTATTTGACAGAGAGAGACACAGCGAGAGAGGGAATACAAGCAGGGGGAGTGGGAGAGGGAGAAGCAGGCTTCCAGCAGAGCAGGGAGCCCGATGAGGGGCTCGATCCCAGGACCCTGGAATCATGACCTGAGCCGAAGGCAGACACTTAACGACTGAGCCACCCAGGCGCCCAGCACTTCTTTTTTTAAAAAAAGATTTATTTTTTTATTGCAGAGGGAGAGCACAAGCGGAAGGGGCAGAGGGAGAGGGATAGAGAATCTCAAGCAGACTTGGTGCCAAGCAGACCCTGACGTGGGGCTTGAGCTCATGACACCGAGATCACGACCTGAGCAGAAACCAGGAGTCAGACACTTAACCTACTGCCGCCCAGACGCCCCCATCAGAGCACTTCCGCCTTTGGATTATAATTATGTGTCGTGCTCTCCTGTTGAACAGTGAGCTCATTTATTGGGGGCTGGCCATGGGCTCAGCATTGGGGCCCACCACATGGAAGTTGTCCAACTTGGGCTCACAGTGAGCCCCCAGATTGCCTTTCAGGCTTGTCCCCATCTTCCCCGCTCCGGGGGCAGAGCCTGGCATGAGCATAGGTATGCAGAAAATGTTTCGTCTGAGTTGGCTGTCTTTTGCCCAGACTGGGGTTCCCAGGAGATGAGGAGCCACATAGATAGAAGCTGCCCACGGAGGGGCTGTGCGGGCGGCAGGGAAGTGGCAGGCTGGTGCCATGTGAGGACCCACTCTTGTCATGGTGTTCTCTCCACCCTGTCTAATGGGAGAGGAAAGCAAGAACAGGCCCGGCCTCTGGATGGGAGTCTGGGTTGCAGCCCTCCTCCAATGTGAAAGTCTAGGTGGTCATTTGCCCTCCTGAGCCTCAGTTTCTTCTTGTGTTATATGGGCCTAAGATACCCCCCGCCATAAGCCGTCCTGAAGATGGAATGAAGTCCTGCCCATCACGGTGCCCAGCTCACAGTAGGCACTCAGGATACAGTAGATGATGGTTCTGTTGTCTCTGTCATTGCCACCGTCTCTGTCATCTGTTCTCACCACCTCCCACCGTGGCTTCAGGCTGTGAGAGGTAGTGTGAACAGACTCGTTGGATGACATCTTCAGTGGTGAAGACCCTTGAAGATGGTTCAGTGCTGCCTGCCTCAGAAATTATAATGATAGCACAACCTTGCCCTTCCCCTCAAGGAGCTCTGGATCTGGGTCAGGCTGCATGAGCTGAAATTATGTATCTGTAGAAATTCTTAATCAACAGGGTCAAATGATGGTAAGTCGGTACCTGTGGAGTTGCCCTGTTAACAGTATGGGGAATGGGGCGCCTGGGCGGCTCAGTCAGTGAAGCATCTGCCTTCGGCTCGGGTCACAATCTCAGGGTCCTAGGATCGAGCCCCACATCGGGTTCCCTGCTCCACAGGGAGTCTGCTTGTCCCTCTGCTCCTCCCCCTGCTCATGTGCTCTCTCTCTCTCTCTCTGAAATAAATTATAAAGTAAAATGTTAAAAAAAAAAAAACAACAGTATGGAGACTAGTGGTCAAGAACTGAGAGGACATCATTTGGCCACTCACTCCCTAAACCCTCCGTGAAGGTTTTGGGGGACCTGAGTGGACACTGTCCCACTTGCCCTGAGGTTTTCTCCCCACTGAGGACAGGCATCAGTCAGAATTAATGGAGCCTGCTGGAGTGTTCCCCCACGGGCCATCAGATCCCCCACCAGCTTCCCCAGGAGGACCATGCGGAGATTTCTGGAGGCTTTGAAATCTGGAGGGGCTGGCCAGTCACATGCAGTGGTGGCCTGAGGGAGCTTGGAGATCATTCAGATGTTCATTCACCTCCTTGGTTTACAGTTGGGAAAATGGAGGCCTGAGGAGGCAGGGGTGTTGCATGAGTTGGGACCAGAGCCCAGGTTTGGTAGGCCCATTTCTCACACTGTGTTCTGCAAGCGGTTATTGCTACCTGTAGCTCTCTGCTCCGAGAGGAGGAATAGGCACTCAGTATGCAGTTGGGCACAGTGGTTAAAGCAAGGACTTTGGAGACAGACGTCATGGTTTCAGATCCTGTCTGTGGAGCCTGGGCAAGGTACTCAACTCCATTTGTTTGTCTATATACTAGAGATAACAATAATATCTACTTCACAGAGATAGTGTGAGAATTAAATGAGGTAGCGGGCATAAAGCATTTGAACATAGCCTGGTACGTAGGACGCGCTATATGAGCTTTACCTGCTGTTCCTGTGATGATGGTGGTGGTGGTGGTGTTGATGGTGGTGATGATGGTGGTGGTGGT